ACACACACACACACACACACACACACACACACACGACACATCAAAGCCCGAGTGTTTGTTCGTCCGTAGTACCAAACACAACTACTTCCCCAAACATGTATTCAGTATTTTATTAGGAAAGTAAATGTGTTTTTTTTTTCAATAATTATCCACCATTAAGTTTATTACTGGGTTTTGCTGGTATGATCCTCTTTGACCTATCTTGACCTTTGATAATTTTTTACCGTAATAATTGGAGTCTCATTAATTATCCTCGGTTTCTTGTGTCCATTAACCAAACTTATTGAAGACCCTGTTCTCTTATATTTGCTTGTCATTTGGGAAGAGATACTATGGAATTTCGACGATTTATTGCAGTGTAAAAATTGTCAATATAGCTTGGTCATGATTGCATCCGTATGTGTGTGTGTGTGTGTGTGTGTGTGTGTGTGTCAGCAGCAGCAATGATAGTAGCAGTGACAGAATAACATAGATTTATATCAATAGTAGTTTCGGCTGCTGCAGTAAATGTAAGAACAGTAACAGTAATAACACGAGACACAGCAACAACAGTAAAACAGCATTAATAGTCTAAACGGAAACAGTAGCACAAACATTATCAGCGAAACAGCAGCAACAGTATCAACGGAATCAAAAGGTTGTCAACGGCAAGCAACAGAGCCCCCATCACCCAACTCTCTCAATACACAACCCTGAAATAGACCAGCTTAAGGTCGCCAATATTTATCTAAGAATAGGAAAATATATTTTGGTTCCTTGTTCTTAATTATTCACAACAATCTTACTGAGACGTCCAACACCTGCAATATACTGAAGATTATACTGAACAAGCGCAGAACGACGCACGAGCATTCCGTAACGGCTATACTGTGTCTATCAACTACATAAATGTACACTATCACATAGTCTAGATATGGTAAAGGAACATGAAAACAAATCAATATATTGCGACTCGTGTACTTTTACTTCTTCAGGAAACGGAATAAAAAAAAATCGTGAATTTCTCTTTCGGGAGTTAATGCAGTTCAGTGTGGCTCAGACTAGCGGTAGCGTACAGGGGAATGGTGCATGACTGTTGTATATAATCAACATCATCATCATGTATATGTCATGAAGGAATGTCCAAAATGGAAGCTATGAAAAAGAATAACTTTAAATTTTTTTTAGTTTTTTTAAGTTCTTCATAAACGTCGAAGTTACTAGTTAAACTTTACACATAAAAGAAACTGACATTTTAAAATAATTACCAAATAACTTGAAACATCACCCCAATAATGTCAATGTTTAAGAAATAAATAACATTGTGTAAAACTGAGCATTAATAAGCATTTTTCTCATTCCCAGACAATACTTAAAATATATGAGGTTTAATGAAGCTGGAATTTACATCTGACATAAAACGTATCCATCTACAAGTGTCGTATGAGTTACTAGTCTTTAAAAGGCATTCACTCAGCCAATGCTTTATAACGTGTTCTGTCCACATATATAAAAAATGACAGTGTATTTATCGTGCCACAAACTGACTCTAATGACGTTAATCCCAGGGGTTGAGTGCGTCTCGAGTGTGTGGGTTGAGTGCGTCTCGAGTGTATACTTTGGCTGTCTGTTTTTCGTGTTTTTGCATGTAACAATAAAACATAACAACAATAATAATAATAATAATAATAATAATAATAATAATAATAATAATACAATAATAATTTACAGTGGCGGTCATATCAGGGGACAACGTGGCGGAGTCACCTCCCCGTCATTATTCTAAATTTAGTGGTATACCGGCCAGCCTCACGCAAGACACGAGTCAATCTAGACACCATACACGCTCACCCCCACTCGCTGTTTTACCTCTACTATATCAGTGTTGTGCAGTAATGTAGTAGACTTTTATTCTATACCTGCGGCGCCATATTGAACATAGTTTCACACGGGTTTATAACTAGACTAATGCGATTAAAAACAGGTTATAAAGTCATGCTGTAATAATAACGTTCAGTGATGTAATTCATTAGTCATAGCGGATCTTCACATTATGGTTTAGAAGAACAATAAGAACAACGATCAAAGTGTTCATCAAGGGGTTCACTCAGCGCTCGTGTGTTGCTGTAATGAAAGTTCACACGAGTAACAGACTGCCCAACACATCAGTAACTTTGTAATGCAGAATGAGCTGATCACCTCACTAAATTAGGAACCCCCCTTTTTGGGACACTAAATATTCGTGTAGCCCTCTTCCTATCCATCGGGGTTAAGAAGCTTATATATATATATGACAATGCTGTTCTAAATCAAGGAAATAATAATAAATACCAAGAGGAAAGGAAATGAGAGAGAGAGAGAGAGATCAGGCAAACCGGACGTCCTTGACCTGAATGTGCAGTGAACGGTACATCGCCTCCATTTCACTCTGGCGTCACACAGGGTAAACATCCCACCGTCATTCCAAAAATATATGAATGACTATACTTTAATTATGATTTGTAACGAAGTATAATACAAAATTTACCGTTTCTGAATGTAACGTAAACCGTTCTACCAATTGCCAGGTGAGTGCCCTTTCAAACCTCTTTTTCTCTATCAAGGAGAACTGCTGCCGAGACCAGAGGAACATGTTGATCACTTCCTTGCATGTGCTAAACAAATATTCTATTTATCTTCTCATATGAAAATACGTTGAAACACATATCTATATTAGTGTAAACGAAACTCAACCATGATATAACAATTATTACAATCGACACAGGAGTCAAACCAGAGTGTACGGTTAATGTAAACAAAAGACTCTCTGAAGGTGACAACAAACGCCTGGTGTCAATAAAAACAGTCGAGTCATTTGTTGTACGGCTGTTGTTGCTTCACTCTACGCTGGTCCACCTATTGTAAAAACCAGAACCTGGCCTTGTTACATCATATAGCAAGTGGTGCGTCACGCCTCCTGTTGTATCTGTGGAATAGTACACTTAATCTGTCACTTAGTCACAGCTACCAATATCCTTATTTTAGGCTCCATATACTTACAATCAACCAGCAGGCTTTCAGCGGATTTGTTCACATGCGCAGAACGGATGTGTTTTTGTTCCTTACATGTGTACTACAGTAAAACGATATCCACTAATTGGAGTGAGCACGAGCCCTCCTATTCAATTAAGCTACAAAAATAAAAGATGATTCCCAAATGTCGTTGACTCTATATTGAGTTTACCGTAATTGAAGAGTATCACTGACAAGACTTCACCTTCCAGAAGCAGACACGGAAACTGATGTCTAAACAGTACGTAACTTCACTTGTTTGTGGGTGCAGAACTTCGCGCCAGGAATGTACTGTACAGTCTACGAATTGGTTACTTTTAGCGCCTGTCTGTCATATTCGTTTGCTGGCTTTGTCCCTCCCGTTATAGTCTTCAAAATGTAAACAAACCCTCACATGATAAAATCTTGATACTGTAACTCAGCTTTGTAAATGTAGATGGCACCTTATCAAATCTAGCGATCTCATTCAAGCATAGCAAGTGATTCAAGGAGGAAACATGTATGGTATGGGTATTATAAAACAACACGATTAATATGTGTGTTGACCCTGACCTTACTTAACATTGATCGCCTCATGAAATAGCTCTCGGCTCCCTCAGGTGTTCGTAAATAGATGGAACTCGCACACCCTCCTCGCTCTCAACAAGATTACGGAATGAAATATAAAACAGGATAGATATGTGTGACATTTATAGATATCCGAAAGTTTTCTTTACATACAATTGTTGCAACCTCTTGTTTTTTTTCGTTTTTTTCTCATCTTTTCCAAAAATGTAAGAAATTAAACTTATATTACTTCAAGGTATTTTGGAGCCAGTTGTCTGTACCCAATCTGTATCCAACTGCGGCTTCTGTAAAAGAATATGGCCCTCGTCAAGCTGAATCTGTCGGAACATCTTCGTATCACCAGAGAGGAGATACACGTAGGACAACACACGATCAAATTACTACATTAATAGGAATGGACCTAACATACTCCCTTGAGGGATGCCGCGTATATTGTAGCCTTAGCTCGATCAAAAACTACCTTCGTTACTGTCTCCTGCCAAGCTATAAGGAAGAGATGACCTGGAGTGTCTCTTTTATTTACTGAAGTACTATTACGTTCCTTTTCTATTCCTGGTGCTGCCCCCAAAACACTACAGAATGTCCAGTCCATGCCCAGTTTACCCGCCAAGACTCATAGAAACAGCTTAGCTCTCTTCGTTCTTGTGTTGTGCGAACGATAAACAGTAATGTAGAGATAGAGACAACAATGACTACCCTACTAACCCAGCCACATGAGCTAAGTAATAAGGTGGGAATATTAGTGCGTGTAATTGTCTTGATGTAGTACACACAAGCTGGTGTTGAACCAAGGGGAGAGTGTTGACGTGAGGAACACAAAGGCAGCTAAGAGGTCTGCCAGTCTTTAATTATATATGAGTTACAGGAGCATGCTACCCCCACCGCTATTCCCACCTATAATTAAGACGATATCAATACAGCCTGCCTAGTATAGCTTGTGAACAAGGCTTATGACGTGGTTGTCACGGCTGACAGCACATTGTTCAGATGTTATCCATGGCAAAAGATGGCGTGAAGAGGTACCAACACACTCATCATGACGCTACACTATATAAAGCTACGTAGTACATCATCGTTGTCAAGTGTTAAACCCCAATATCTTCAACTTTGAGCCATTCAACAGGTGCAGTGGATATCTTATGTGGGCTACATGTTACGATATCTTTACGTTGTGTTTAGACGATATATTATTGTCTAGTTTAGTGTGTGCGTGGTTGTCGTTAGGGCGAGACTTACAACACTGTGTCAATTGTATTTCCAGAGATGTGATGAACACATCTTTGGGGATACTAATGACTTCAACGGTTGCCGTGACGAAAGTAACGTGACGCCGCATAGTCTGTCCCCATGGCCACTGTCCTTCCGCCTCTCCCAGTGTTTACATGTCTACTGTTCTTCCACAGGTTAATGGGAAGGTGTTGGCGCCCCCCATTTATGATGACTTCGATGGACCTCTACAAAACCGCGTCTGTCGGGATGTCGTCTTCCTCATCTTGTTCATCGCCTTCACCGTGGGATCCGTGAGTTACCCTTGTTTTATGTGTTACGTCATACATAATACTTCTTACTTCATCATACATAATGGTGTATACTTGCCATTACATACATGATGCTGTCTTCTTGTTGGTTCATATATAATGCTGTCCGATATCTCTTTCATATTCCAGCCTTTTATCTCTTTGGATCTCTACTCCATAAATCTCTCATCTCTCCGATGATCCGCATCGTCTCTCATTCCTTTCAGATCTGTGTTAACTCCGCCACATGATTCCTCCTGTCTTTCCTTCTTTATAGATTGCATTCTTGATCTATGTTGGGTCAAAGTCAAACCCAAAACGACTTCTCCATGGATACGACAAATTTGGCAACGTGTGTGGCAGCAAGAACCCCAAATATGCCAATCTGGAGAAGTCAGGGCAGGATTTCCGTACAAGACCGTGAGTATCCGAGTACCCGCAACTAATTTACATTCATTACCATACCTGTGCTAAGGGTACGGTTTATTCCTTGTACCTTAAGTGGTTAAATCCCCCTTTACTATAAGTGTTATGTAAATCACTTCTACCTGGTATCCTTCTCCACTTGTGCACGTGTACCCGAGTTACTCCCTTATTACAACACTTGTTATGAGGGTTCTATCCATATACCTGTACTAGACCTGAATTACACCTTTTATCAGTCATTATCTAGCTTAGTTTCTCATTGATATGCATGTATCCTCGTTATCTTATGAGAGAGACCAAATAGATCAGACTCTCACTTGATTTGTTCCCGTCATAGGTTTCTCAGCTGGTCCGTGGACACCTCAATGTCAGCAATGATAAATGAAGGCGCCATCATGAAGACCTGTGTCAAGACTTGTCCCTCAAACACGTGAGTTACTTAACGTTCTTAGTCTCCTTCACCCGTGGAGAGTCACTAATCACCTCAGTCCTTGTTGGGAGTCTTTAATCATTGGTGAATAGTGGAACTCTAACCATCTTCAGTGTGTCAATAATCATCTGGTCTTTATTGTGACTCATAATGAATCACCAAGTCTTTTATCCTCACCAATCATCCTGTGTTATCGATTTTCACTTCTGTACAGATAAAAGACGACCAAAAACATTACCTGTTCACCTGCATCAATTAACAATATAGTTATTCCTTATATCTACATTGTTGGTTAGTTTTTAGTATGTTTTCCATCTTAATCTTCAGGTATATATAACTCCAAATGTGAATTTATAATTCAACACGGGAAATTTACTTTTTCATTAACTACTCATTCGGTCCCAAGGTTTCCAGGGTGCCGAACTAGCAACTTTTACACTGTACTAGTCAACTGGAACACAAATTATAAGTAATCCTAAACATACAAACAATTTTAACCTAATTCTGTGAGCCAAGACAAAATATACAACTCATAGTACGACAAAAACTTGGTTCATGCATAAAAAATACTAGAAAAACTACCAGTGAATATTAAATAATAATAATAATAATAATAAAAATAATACTGTAATAATAACAAAAATAATAGTAACAATAAAAATAATAAAAAAATAAATACAAATATTTCAGGTCGACGCAGTTTCTCTTCACATGTTTGCCCGTGAAGGGTGACTGGGCCGTCAACAAAACAGACGCTGTGTTCAAAGCGGCTCTTGGGTTCACCGCCAGCGACTTCTTCGAAACACTGGGACAAGACCTACAACTATCAGCGATGTACATCGTCTACTTGTGTCTCATATCACTAGGCCTGGCCATAGTCGTAACTGTTATGCTTAGGTTAGTACATGTCTTCCTCTTCGTTTATTTTACTTATCTACCTACCATTTACCTACTTGGTGCCGCACCAAGAATTAACCATTAATTTTCACTCATTCACCTTTTCCCTATTATTCTATCACTTCATCACCAGGTCTTCTTATGGGTAGTGAAACATGGTTCATCATTAAAGGTTCTATCATTGTATTTATTCCTGTTTTCCTCTTCTTAATTTCCTTCTCGTAGGACAAAATATCGACGTCTATTCTGAATACTTTAGTTTATTATTTTTCACTCAAAACCTAACCTAACGAAGCAGTGATAAAAGTAGCTTCTTATTGGTTTCTTTGAGTTTTAATACGGTACCTGGATCTCACAACATACGCAGACTGCTCCCAATGACTGAGTTAGTACTGGCCTCTTGCTCTAGCGATTCTATTATTCTTTCTACTTATCATTCTCTATTTTTACTTTATAGTTTCCTTATGATTTTTCTTTTGTGTATAGATAGATAGATAGATAGATATACTTGAGGCACATAAATGGACAGTTCTTAGCTTAAATACTGATAAATAAGTTAACCTGATCGAGTATATTTGTGAATTAGTGACAACAATTCCGAGAGAAAACTTCACACATTTGTGAAATTCAAGTTACTGTATTAAATATATTTCTTTGTTTTAATGATACTCTAATAAACGTAAGCTATATTAATAACTGTTTGCATACGTAGCACACTAGTAGGTTTGATCAACACCAGTTCAGTAGTTATAGTGGTTTTATGCAAGTATTGATCAGCGTGTGTGCGTGCAGGTTCCTAGCACCCGTGGTGGTGTGGCTGTCCGTCTTCATCATGGTGGTGGGCACCATCGCCGGCACCGTCGCCCTCTGGGTATTTTGGTACTTGCAGAAGAAAAAAGTCCAGGCGTTGAAGGATAAAGAAGACAGCCAGTTAGATTACGAAATACAGGTGTTACAGAAATCCGCCACAACACTGTTGATTAGTGCCATCGTGGTTACCATCTTCACGGTGAGACAGAGGACTAGTCGTTGTCACTCATGTACACACTCCCTTTCTTTACTGTTTTTGTCTATAGCACCATTGTATTGTTATATCAATAGTGATTAGTCACGTTGTGCTTGACTCCCCCTCACCCCATTCCCCGACAGGTGCTGTTCCTGATCATGATGATAGCCATGAGGAATCGTATCAAGCTGGTGATCGCCCTCTTCAAGGAAGCTGGTAAAGCCGTGGGTGCCATGCCCCTCCTACTCCTGCAGCCCTTGTGGGTAAGATTCCTGCTGCTACCCTCCACCTCACACTACCTGGCCCCGTCCCTCAACATCTTGAACTATGTTAGAGATATAAGACATATAGATTGATTACATGTTAGCGAGGCAGTAACGTTCATGTGGTCAATACAGTAGGCCACACTTTCTTTTTCACCTGCAACTTTTGTCTCACCCAAAAATTTGCTAACTCTCCCAGCCAGCTATTGCTGCACTGCCTGCTTCAGATGTATGAAACTGTCTCGGTACCAACCAGAACATGAAACCAATACGAATAAATCCAAAGGGTCAAAGTAACAGACTCAAGTTCATACATCTGAAGCAGGCAGTGCAGCAATAACTGGCTGGGAGTTAGCAAACTTTTGGGCGAGACAGTACAGTACATAGTGATAAATGATCTCGGGTCAAAAAGTTGGGATTTAGGTAATTACTTATCCTAATAATCTAACTGATTTTCCGATAACAGTTGAATGCATATCCCTAAAGTATTTCTGTATTATATATAAATTGCATGTTTAGAATAACGCAGCTCACTGTGTTGATGCCCTCGCAGACGTTGCTGTGGCTGGTGTTAGTGTGCCTGGTGTGGGTCCTGGGTTGGCTGTTCATTGAGACCTCCGGCGACCCAAAGAAGTTTAAAGAGAGCATCGTGTTTGTGAAGAGCGATTTCGTCAAGGTGTGTGTGTTTTTTTTTTACGAGGATTAACCCACTCAGGCATAGGTCACTGACCCACATCGGGGCCTCGGGGGGAGGGGGTTAATAATAATAATAATGATAATAATTCATTGTGAATAAATTTTATAATAAAACCATAAAGAAATAAAAAAAATAAAAAAGATCAAAAGTGAGAAACAAAAAATATATGTATGTTGTGTTGTCAATGGTAAGAGAAACAATTGTGACCCTGCAACTGTGTGTAAATGAGGCAGAAAGTCAGATCAGCAACCTGGGGCTTGGTCACAATTTTTTTGATGCCATATGGCTGCAGAGTCTACTATTAGACAATACATTATGCTTCCAATATCTTCCCAGGCGGTAGTGATAAAATTATCCTTTGACACATAAAGACCCTATTTCTGGCATTTTGGTATAGTTAATTTATTTCTGACACCGTTTGACTCTTTTTGACACTTAATGCACCATATTTGATCCAAAATTGACCCTCTTCAGGACGTTTTGTTTCTGACACCTAACTAGACCTGACCTAACTTGACCCTATTAATGAATGTGTGTGACCTTTGACCTCTCCTCAGGCCATGCGGTGGTATCACATATTCGCCTTCCTCTGGGTCACTCAGTTCGTCCTCGCCTGCCAAGATGTGACGATCGCTGGCTCCGTCGCGCAATGGTTCTTTACCAGGTAACTCACGCTTCAATTGGTAACTCATTTCACCCGATTACTCACACTTGACTTAGTATCACACACTTCATCGATCAACTCACAATTCTCCAGGTAACTCATACTCCTCCAGGTAACTCACACTTCTCCAGGTAACTCGAACTTCTCCAGGTAACTCACACTTCTCCAGGTAACTCGCACATCTCCAGGTAACTCGCACATCTCCAGGTAACTCAATCCACTAACTCTCTAGAGCTCATTTCTAGCTAACGTGCATCTCTCCTCCTCGACAGAAACAAGCAGCAGCTGGGGTGGCCCATCTTGACAGCCATGAAGAGGATGTACCGTTATCACCTTGGCTCCCTGGCACTTGGTTCCCTTATCCTTGCATTCGTTAAGCTCCTTCGCCTTCTCCTCAAGGTAGGCGTCTCTGGCGAGTTTAATGTCCGCACATATTAGGGTTTGGGGTTAAAATTGAGCCTAGGTTAAGTTTAAAAGGATGCAGCGGTCGAATGAATAGACACCTAACTTTATAGTTGGGGAAAGAAAGTGGTCGAGTACAGTACCGGCCATGCTGCCTCCTTGTGTACCGAACTTTACTATACAATGTGTTCTATTATCTCTGCCCCTCACCAGTTTATGTATACGTTAAGTTAAAAAGTTCTCATTACATTAACTTAAGGAAGACTTTAGTTAATTTGGGATTTAATTAAGTTAGATTCTGCTAAGTGAAGAGGATCTTGCCCCACACACCGACTCACAGGAGCTTGCTGCTTTCCTGAAATAAAAAATAAACTAATCACTTAACCTAACCTAACCACGACCCTTCCTCCTCACAGAGCCTGCAGAAGCAGATGAACAGTACCAACCAGGTGTGTGCTTGGGCGCTTAAGTGCTGCCAATGCTGTCTCTGGTGCTTCGAGAAGTTCCTCAAGTTTCTCAGTAGGAACGCCTACATAGAGATAGGTAAGTCCAACTACGATAGTAATATAGTAATAATGGCAATAATAAAAATAAGAAAAAAATATAAAAGTAGTAGAAATAAGAATGACAATAAAAATACGAAATATAAGAATAAGGATAACGATAAAATATTAATAATAATGCAATAATAATAAACTGATGTAGGATTTGTTTAACTGTGCTCGGACAACGCACCTCAGTATGAGAGGTGAACGGGGAGGGTGTGCAGTACCCCCAAGTGAGTGTTAATTACACGTACGTATGTTGGTAAAGGGGATTAACGTAGTTTTTTTCTGTCTTGGTACTGGTCAGCCATCTACGGTTATGGATTCTGCAAAGCGGCGCAAGAGGCCTTCACCCTCCTCATGAGCAATGCATTAAGAGTCGTCGCCATCAACTCAGTGGGCGCCTTCGTCCTCTTCTTGGCTAAGCTTGCCATCGTCCTGTCTACCATAGGCTTTGGTATTTTGATGTTCGAGGTATGTTCATTTACATGGAACACAAACATATGCACCCACAAACAAAAATGCAAAAATTCTCGGAATCAACAAAGAAATAAATCCCTTGTGTCAAATCACTCCTTACCAAATACATTTAAATACAAACTTCGCTTTTCTCTCCACGCTGCTGTCACCAGAAAATTATTCTCTTAATCTTATCTCTAAATATCTGTCGAAGCTCACCACCAGTGTTCTTACTTTTGATATTTGTGGCCTCTGAACGTCACTTGTCTCACTCACCTCTATTGGTTATTGTCCTGACTTTTACCTCACCAAACAGTCATCAATCAGCACATCAAATTTATGTCAGAAATAATACCTGAGGTTTCCTTCTCGTTATTCAAGTGATCTGAGTTAGAGAAAAATGAATAAACACGAAAAAAATCTCTCGAGACAGACGACTATTGTCAACAATGTTCTCTCAACCTTATGGAGAACCTCGGTTATAATGTGTTGTGTCTTCCCTCCACAGAACAGGGATGACGTGACTCATGTGTGGGCGCCGCTCCTCATAGTCGCTATCTTCTCCTACTTAATCGCCCACGCCTTCATCTCCGTCTACGAGGTCAGTCAGTAATACACAGGTTAATCAAAACAAATTCAGGTGGGAGTATACAGCCGCTGTGAACAATCAAGTGAACACAGTCAACAAGTTAAATATTTCAGATAAAAGATATTAAGAAATAGAGTTCACGTTTAGGATATACTTATCACTGACAAGGTCTTAAAAATTCGTGCCGATGACCGAACGTGTCTGCCTTTGTAAAATAGAGAGGCTGAATCATACGAGTGTAACGTCTACAGTCCAAGTAAATTGATGTACACTAACGCTTGCTTCTCCCGCAGATGACCATTGACGCATTGTTCTTGTGCTTCTGTGAGGACTGCAAGAGGAACGACGGCATCCAGCGACCTTACTACATGAGCAAGGGTCTCATGGTCAGTGATGTGGTTGTGTTCCTAGCCTTCTGCTGTGGTACTACCCAAATATCACACCAAAGTTCACATGTAGCTTCCGAATCTTAACAGGAAATAATTATGTCTCTAAGTGTAGTATTTTGAAGTTGTGTGTAATCAACTGTTGGGTAGTTAAGAATAGTTTTGAAAATAAGACTAATTACAAAAATGGAGTTTATAGCCCCCCTCTCACCTTCTTTTCTACTCCTGGTCTACAGAAGTTCGTGGAAAACAACAAGAGAGCGTTGGAGGCGCTAGAGCAGAGGCAAAACCAAGAGAAAGTGTGGACCACCAACGTCAAGCCCAATAATGGCCAGGTGAGTTGCATGTCTACACTGAGAATGTCCGAAGGAATTTAGGTTAGGTTAGGTCTAACGCATACAACTACAGTATACTATTAATTGTACAGTAGGTTACACATGTGTAAGAGGGAGATGATGGCTGATGTGAGGCTAGAGGTTAAGAAGCTTGCTGGCTTTGTGTCTGTTTAGAGTAACAACAAACTGGAAGAAGAAGCAAAGTTGTTGACTACTTCTACAAAAAAAAAGAGGTTTTACTGATCATTAGGGACCCCTTAGATTGTTGAGGTTAGCCTGTTTGACACCCTCACCAGCATACACACTTTAGGGTCATTTTTCTCATTCATCTCCTTCCTACCCCATAATCGTTCAACTCTTGCCTCTGGACACTCACACTAAATTGGTCATCTGTAGTCGAAGTAACTACTGTAACTATGGTACTGTATCCAAGACGCAGGACTCTGTAATCTTAATGGAAATAGTAAATGTTATGTATTCATATTGATGTCTGAGGTGTTGTATGTATGAAAATAAAAACTATATTGCAGTTACATTCATTTGTTAAATACAATTATAAAGGTAACGTGATATGAAAAGCGAAACAAAACAAAGGTTCATAAGAATACAGGTAACAGTGAATAGCTGCTACAACAGGTGTCCCCCCAGAGGTTAGGTGATCAAACACCCCCTAACAGCACCTGTTATTGGAGGTCTCAACCTACATAAAACTATACATTGATTATTAACAGTTTGAGCAGCTTTCATTAGGAATTATGTATTCTAATAATTATGTTCTCGTTTGTACCAATGCAGTTCCCATGAAAACATAGGTATGTTTGCATGTCGAAGTCTTACGTGAGTCAAACCACACAAAAGGCGAGCTTATAGTCAACCCCCGATAAAAAATATTTTGTGTGAAAAGGTTTATCAAAATTCGTTTATCGACACCCATGCGCACACACTCAGTCAGGCATACACACTACTAATACATATATGCACTCACACATCTCTTTTTACTGTACGTTTTCAGCCTTTTCGCTGCCATGTTTTTCCAATATAGTTAATTATTATTATTACACACACACACACACTCTCAACGATCAGATCTCCATTCATTACTATTCCTGGGAAAGGGATGTTGTATTATGCTCGTGTTTATGTTTATGGATATATGCTTTATCGCTTCCGCTATTGCACACAGGTGCGAGCCAACAGTTTCGGTCGTTTGCTTTTCAAAAATTGCATATCTTCAAACATTAACCCAAAGCTTCCGCCACTCGCAAATTGAACATGTAATGAAAATGTGCATTTCATAAAAGCTAAACCCATAATAATAATCTTTCTCGTACGTCAGTCTTGCTGTCTATCTGAGCAGAAACTCAAGACCTTAAATTTAAAATTTTAATATTTCATACACAATGTAATGCACATTGTAATCATGTGCATGATAAAAGATGGCTTTCATATCATGCATGTATTGTACTCTCTGTGTTGTCTGTTTCTGAACCAACAGAAGCACGACAAAATTTTATTAAAAATTTCAGACGTTGATGAACAATGTGAAAAAATATACACCACAAAGCTAGTACGTTGTAACTCAAGTGACTGAAAAAAATATACATCGCAAAGTTTCATTCAGCTTAGAAACTTGCCACTCAAGTCAAACAATGGACACAGCATGCCACAAGAACTAAATCACTTCGAAACTAAACAAAAACATCGCTTTGACAACATCCACACGCTGTTGATGTTTTATTTATATTTGGTTTAATCTATCAATATTTATCTACGAGTACCCACATTTCATCACAAACCTCACTACTCTACACCAGTCATTTCAGTCATTAGTCTGCAGCGCTTTTTTACACATCAGTTATCCCGGGAGAGGAGCGTCAAACTTTTTATTTAACTTACTCGTTTATGTTCCCTTATTTTGTCTTATGCTTTAAAAATCTGACGAGTACTTTAGAATACGTACTCAGATGTCGTGTGTCTGTCTATTTATTGTTTTCTCCGAGCTGTATTTTTTATTTTAATATATTTTACACCAATGAACGTCACACAGCTTCATATATTTATCTCGGTTAATATATGATATATCTACGACCGTATGAGGATGTATGTGACAGATGGTACTCTTTATGTTGCAGATGTACCCATCCCTGTCTCCCTCACCCGTCCATGGCGGGATGACGCCCCTCAACCCAGCCTACCCACCCACCGCCATTCCTTGACATGGGAACAACAGCGCCAGGAGGATATAAGGGCGGCAAACAGCTCTATGAAGATCAATAAAATATAGAATATACAACAAGATTTTTAAAATATTGGTCAATATGACTGGAGACGTCTGCTGATAGCTACTGTATGTCGGGGTTGAGCTCTTGTCTCGGTATATGAACTCAAGTACGAGGGAGACTTTCTGCTCGATTAGTCTCGCCAGTTTTAATAGATCTTTAATATTAACTTATATCTATTTTTTGTTATCTTATTATTTGTGTCGTAGAAATTTGTGAAAAAAAATTGACATGTAATTAACCTGGAACAACTATTCCTGATTCATTTAATCAATTTTAGTGTATTGATGTTAATGTGAATATTTCCCGTGCTGACGTCATATCAAGAACAAGGAGGTTTAGCATTGTCATACAGTTAGTTGGCAAATGATTCTTTCTTTTAGTCAAAATTCAATTCTGTAGAAAGCATCAACAACATATTGAAAACAAACAATCGGACTGGAATGGCGTATAAAGTTACAAATCTTTTTTGTTTGTTGATTTTCTTTTTTTGGAGTTGTATTTATAGTAAACTTTACTGAATGACTAATTTAAGCTAGATTAAATAAAATCACATCGTAGTTTCTCCTATATCTTGATAATTCAAACAGATGAATTTTTAAGATATGCACAATGTTTATCCTATTCACAACCTATACAGTAGAATATATGATTTTGATATACCTGTACATGAATATCATCAGTATTTTATAACTTTTATTTCACGTAAAATACATTTCCTATATCTAAAGCTAGTATCTGGCGTGTGTCCGCGCTTCTATATATATATATTTTTTTTTTTTCTTCAAATTATAGTGAAGCAACAAGTTAAGGTTGGAGACGACACTGGTATTGTGTTTACGTACTGCATGTAGTTATTAACATGGTGTGATAAACTTTCTGTATAGTGTTTTGGGGAGGAGCAGTTTGTGAGTGTGTTTATTGTATAACCAATGTTTGTAGGTTAAGGAAATGCATTACTGTGATAAAAACTAATTTTAAGGTACAAAAACAAAAAGATTTGACTGGATAAACATTGCACAGTATCTATTCTGGTTGTGTTACTTGGGTCCACACAAATGTGATTTACTACTAGAATTTACAATTACTGTATGTTTTAAGATTTATAACATACCATCACAAAAGTAAAATAACATTTCATAATTCTCCTTATCTTTGTACATTACCGTGATATTTTAAGTAAAAACAAACGCTTCTATATTATCGAATTCAGTTATGTAATTAGATTTCATATGCAGTCAACACTAAATACTAAACAAAATGAACCCCTAACAATTTGGCCTGGAGAAATCCCCGAGATTACTTTCAGCTGAACAAAAAATTAGATATTTTCGTCGATTTTTGTTTTCTGTGAAACTTATTTAGGTCACTTCTTATTCATATGTTCAACACAGCACTTTGATGTGATAGAATACTAAACAAAACAAAATATATATACCCTGTACCTGTAAACAGTATACAGTAGATAATTTTACATACGTATATAGGTAGCCAGCACCATTATCTTGATGATATTATGTGTACCTTGATTGTGTAGCCTTGGTGGTGTGAGATGTAGCCTTAGTGGTGTGAAGAGTAGCTTTGACAGGTTGGTTGTCAAAATCTGAGTGAGAATAGTGGAAAACTCATACTAGGCTTCTTAACCGTACACTAGATAGGGAGTTGTGATGGACCATGATCAGAGGACAATAGCCCACCTCAACTATCATCACTTAATTCAACAGTATCAAAGAACTTTTTAGTATCTAGAGCAGGTGGGATTTTGTCCATGTTATTAATCTAGTTGGTATTTGTCTGGTGGGATCTTGGTCACGCACTATAAAACTTGTTAAGGAACCCGCCACCGACGAAATGCTCAAAGTGCCTTACCAATAAATCATTATTAATAAATTGAACCTGATGTAGTGTTTAAATTATTAACCTTCACTACCTGGGGTACCCAATGTTCATGAGCATTCTCGGGAATATTTGCTTACACTTAACTCGTTTGTTTCTTTTCCACCCGGATTTTTTTTTATTTGGGGGTATATACCAGTTTTATAATGGTGTTTGGGTTATATTTGTTACGTAGACAAATTTGAGAAGATTAATTCTAACACACAAAAGATTGAACTCGCTGGTTATTTCACTCCTACTTTCACAAACTCTTCATCCTAAGTGTCGGTTAACATAAACTACTGTACCTGGTAAGGACTTAGCTGTAAAAGGAGTTAATTCAGGAGTGAACGACCATGTGCAGAAGTGGTGATTATGGACTTGTGATGTGCATAGGTCTATTTAGGGTACAGACTTGTTCAAGCAGGAGCCAAGCTGCAAAGATAAACAAAATTTAGACTAATGACGTTATAAAAAAAACGGATGGTTCCGTTTTGCATGTCAAGCTTAAGATATGATTGTGACAAAGTATAGACACAGTATCAAGCAAATATCACAAATTAATAACAAATACAAATCAATAAAATTTAGATGAATAACCAAATATGTACTAAACAAATTAATAATGCCCGGTGTTCAGGTAGGGAATCAACAACCGCCACAAGTAGCAGATGTGCCTTGTCTTTGTTTGTAGCTAATGATAATATGCTGTACTCCTTGAATTACTGTACCCAAGTAAAACATTGGGGACTATCAGTTTCTCTTCCCGATGCGACGTATTGTAGCGGCGGCAGAGGCGACCAAAGCACAAACGTGGGCTGTGAACATTGGTCTAGTTACAGAACATCATGTATGTACATTATTTATGCTTTGCCCCTTTGATATTCTTTTTCGCGAACTTTTGGACATTAAATCCAAAGTGCCTATCAATTTATATTCCGAGTTGTAAATTTGTATGAGACTGAGAGTACAACCTTTGGCTTAAAAATTTGGGGTTGTTTTTATGATAGTTGGTCTTAGTTTCTTACATTTGGCCTCCTCCAAAACTGACTGGAGGAGTTGAGTGAATCTCTTTCCGCTCCAATTCATGATCCTTCGTCCCTCTTTTCACAATTTCTCTCAAGGGAGATGGCAATATATTCCCCAACCTACAGTAATAGCTAATCATTTCACCTCTCGTTACATTTAACTCGTTCATAGCTCTTACAACACACCCAGATGATGCGTAGAATTTATTTTAATCTTCCACTACATGACGAGGAGGTATCAGAACCTGCAGGTGTTATACTATATAAGCAATTACGTAATAAAAAAAATACACCCTCCGACCCAACCCAATGGTTCACAAGCCCCACTAGAATTCAGAACATATGGTCGAGTATCCCTCATTACAGCACTGGGTGGTACTGTATAACCAAGAAGCCTTAATATATGGAGGCGGCATGACGTATCCTTCGTTCAAGTCTCCTTAAGCCAGTGGCCGGGTTTAGCGGTCATGTTGTTTTTAAAGCAATGTAATACTACTGTGGATATATCATAATACATAATCCAGTTTTAACCATCACCACCAGGGAGTGGGGGCATATTACCACACGATATCTTTGAGGAAACTGGATGACAAGAAGGCAGTACCTACAGTTTTACCAAACTGGCACTTCTGCTTGATATAACTTAATTACTACTTTAACACTTACCGCTGGAGTGTTATAGAATCTGTTCTGTCCTTCTGGGTACATCTATATGCCGTGTAGGATGGCATAATGGAGCAATATATGGGAGCAGCAGCACGGAGTAAACAGACATGGTTTGAATCAACAAAAATGGCGGCGCCGCTGGGTGGTCGGCTTAGCTTCAGGGTTATGACGTCTTGCAGCCTACAGTTTCTTTAAATCTCCTCGAGTACAACATTCTGGGTTGTAATTACTGAACCAGGAATAAAAAAAATGCATAAAAGCCTGAAAATTTTACCAATTCTATTATCTTAAGATTATTTCTGTTCTATGAATACTCAGTTCTATTATTAAGGTTACAAATTTAATTTCAATGATTAACTTGATGTGGCCTTTGACACGTTATAATACTTTCACGTATCACAAAATGTCTCCACTGGTGCTGTCTGCCTCTTTCTGGATGCAATTACACTATCATTTTGGTGGTAATGCATGCGACTCTCTTTTGTTGTGTCCTGGGTTCAGTCCCCATCCAGGTCAGATGTGAGAATGGTGTTATGCAGTGTGACATTTCTAATATCACTTTTTTTGTGTACAGTACTACGGTTTCCTCCTGTACTAACACAAGTGAGGTTTGTAATAATGTAACAAAGATCAAACTAACTGACTGAACACACCAGCAAGCTTTTAAGTAGAGATAAATTAAAAATGGAAATTAAATCTTTTTGATTAGGGGAAGACTCAAGGACAGCACTTTGTGCCCTACATTTTGCATTGAATATGAATCCCAATCAGTTAATTTCTGTAATTCTTTATCTATGCTGTATCAAACTCGTAGAACATTAACAATGATTACTACTCAGCTTCTTCACATTATTCTAACTGTACAGTAAGCTCATATTCCAGTCCAAAATTTCATAACCATTTATCTCGTTTGTAGGACATGATATGAGAAGGCAGTCAGGCAATAATGTATAATGGAAAGACACCTGCACAGCACAATCATCATATATTGCTATTTCAAGCTTTTAAGTAATAGTTAACATAATACAAAATATGTGGTTCATAAAACCTTTTATTGGTGAACAAGTGCATTATACAACTGGAGGTGCAAAGGGGCATTATTCACAAAGGAATCACTTAATGGAATAAATATTTTTTTTGTACAACATGCAGTGGACAATAACATTTTTACAAATAAAAAATATCAAAAGATATTCTAACTAATTTTAAGTCCTGGGGCAGAGCTTTAGAAATTTGAATGAAACAAGGAAATAAACATATACAGTGTTCATTATATATTTTGAAGTGAAAAGAATAGTTCATTTAATAACACTCATACACTGTACTATAAAATTGTTAAGACAATCTGAAGTTGATCCAGTGTCCATACAAGAGCGCTGCATTAGAGACCAAATGGTTTATGTGAAGAATAACGACAGGAGTGTGAAGAGGTGAGACAATGTAAATAATATTTCAATAGTACAGTATAATAATTAAAATGTCAGCAAAAAATACAAATATATTTAACAGTGAGAAACACAAAAAATTTTGAACCACCCAGGACTTGAACCTAGAACTTCCATCAAGCCAACTCCACCTTGGCTTACTGTAGACTTGCATCTTCCTCACTGACCACAATACATTTGCTCCCTAGAACATTATCAGTGTCCTTGACAAATTACTGTACATTTAGGTTGTTTTACCCCACATCTCCATCAAATGCAGTAGTGAGAAAAAAATAATTTGAATGGCTACGGGCATAAACCTTAGACTCCTGCTACACCTAGGACCGTCGGTAGTGACTTACCATCAGCACCACACCCTACACTCCTGCCTCCTTCACAAGAGATGGCCTGAAACTGTGTGTGCCATATTTCCTGTAGCTCATGGAAGATGCAATAACTGACAATCAAAAGAAGGGATCCTACCCAATTGCTTACACACAATAAGTACTTAAATATGGCAAAACAATCTTTCTTTGGGAATTAAAATATTTTGTCATGAAGGAAAAAATACACAATATAAAATCATATAATACTGTTATATTAATTCAGGAAGGATACTTTTGAAATTCACATGGAAATGCATTGATGTAAAACCTGGGACTATAACTAATTAAAAAATAGAATACTTTCCAGTAAATTGAAATAGTTTTGGTTATTTTCTGTAACTACTGTACTGTAATCTAAAACAGCCTTAATTTATTTTTGTTTAAAATCAAATTGCTTCTAATGTCAAACCTAGAGCCATGGATAAAACATTAATGATGACAAATAGTTCATTATCATAAAATATTCTGATATAATGCGCTGTATATTTGGTATAAATATCTCAAAAACAAAAAATCTTGCTAAAAAAAATTGAGGTTATTCATAAGTTCCTAAAACACAATTCAATAAACATACATTATCAGTTCAATTGTACTCAATAATACAGTACAATTGGCTTTCTACAATACATTAAATATAATGCTATATTTTAATTTCTACGTTAAGTGACATACAGTTCTGTATCTTGAGCTAATAATACAGATGTGTTGGTGTAATGTTGGTTATGATGACATGTGATAGTTTGTTCAGTGTTGAGGAGTGAGTGTGCTCTTAAAACATCAAATAACAGAGTAGGTTGGTTGGGTTCTGTTCCTGAAAAAACTTTTGTAGAGCTAAGATTCATTCTTACAAAAATACTTCCTCAAAACATTTAAAAATTTATACAAAACTTGTTTTTAATGAAATTTTTGGTGTACACAAAGATTATAAGCCAATAATAAACATAAGTGAAATACAGTACAGTACACGAACCAATAAAATGATACATACAAAAATATCAATTTTACCAACAAATGAAAACTTGTGCTCAGGTGTATAACATATATTTTAGGGCACAGTTAATATATTCATGATTCAAAATAAAACATCCTTCTGAGTCACAAAATAGCGAGATATTCTATATGATAATTTATGAGTGAACATCAAGTTTGTGAATGACTATCAATCAACCTACACAATTATAGGACCCCATATGTGGGTCATTTTCAGTACTACTCTACAAATATATACATTAAAAGTTTACAGAAAGCAAAAATCTAGCATTATATTATATACAGTACAGTTTACCTACAGTTTTGAAAGAAAGGCCTGTGTGCTCAAATACAGTATATAAAATTTCAATAAAACAACATAGTTGTATAAATTTTAAAATGCATTTCTATTTAATGCCAAATGAGAAACATTTAAAGCTAGTCTTCCATTCTGTTATGAATAAGTAAAGCAACTTAACTCTAACATGACAATTATCAAAAGGAATCAGCTTACATCTCTGAGTAATGTATGAATCTTCAAAATTCTCTCTCGCTCTCTTATAGTTATATATATATTCTATTAAGATATTCTGACTAGCCAGAGTCTTCTTGGTCAGTGAAAGGTATATTGTTCTCCAAATGATGTTACTTTTGGTAACACTTGGTGTCTTCTGATCGATGGCCAAAACTCTGGTAAATACTGAAAACTAAAATTCATTGAGAGCCCAAAAAGCACTCTTAATGACATATTACATGTTTATTACTGGGCCACAGTCCATTAGAGGATGTACTCTCTAGATAAAGTTTTATACAGTACTGTACTGTACTGTATAAGTAAGTTAACAGGTTTCATTCACCGTGATCTTGTATCTTCATTCACAGATTACTATCTTTGAAGACGCCCAATACTTTTCCATAAAATTTGAGGAAAACTGCATATCTAGCATACTTCTAGAGAATACAAACACTTATGCACTGCTTAATATTAGAGAAAATTTATTGAAAAAAAAAATCAATGGCTACCTAAACAGTCCTGACTGTGGAAGCTATGAGGGCAGCAGTGATAGTAAAGATGAGAACAAGTGATGGGGTGAGTAGCGTCGCACTCCCTGAACCTCGATGACTGGGACGACCTGAAAGTAAAGGAAACCACAAGATAAGATTGATGTATTTATTCACTGATATTTGGCTTATCAAGTAAGGATTCTAATGTACCTATTAATTTTGATATTGACTTTACTTTTATATCATTTGGTTTACTGTAATAAAATAAATCATATCTGTTTAAAGTCAAATTTAAATAGTTGCGGAAAAAAGTCCTGCAAGTCTTCTGTCTGGGTTACATGATGTCTTGAACTCACAAGTACTGTACACATAAGTCTCAGGTTTCACAGATGGGAATCACCGATGAATAAAGCCTATCAAGGTCTGCTGGTTAAACTCTTGAAAAGGGACTTTATACGGTCCATGGGAAGACTTGCCTTGCACAGTGTATGACGACAGTCAAATAAATTGTCAAATGATAAAAGACCAGTTTCAAATATGATGCCAGGCCACTGTGTGATGGTCAGTTCTAAGCAGAAAGCATTGTGCATCAACTGTACACTTAAGATTTGTCAGGTCCATGTTAACAAGAACACGGAGTGAGAAATACAGAAGAAACTAAATGTACTGTACTAAAACATGGAACAACTAGCATGCACTGAAAAGATACTTATGGACAAAATAGCTACATAATAAATAGATCTCTCTGCACTATAGATAACCCCTCAGCCATGCTGACACATCATGTAAAAATTATACAGACTGGTAGGCCTACCCATATAAATATTGTAAAAGGGTACACCACTGGATGAAGTGGATTCAGAAATGTGGTTTCCAAACACAAATCATTTTCACTCACGAGAATTCAAGCAGACATAAGATTATGGATTGGGTATTACATCCCATTTTTGACTGAGGAAACCAAAGTAGTAATCTGCAAGACTTACCATCATCAAACATCCCATGGCAGAGCCTACCTTCACCAGAAGTTTGTATTGCTTAAGGAGAGTATTTGCTATCACTGCAGATACTTTGACGGAACTACTTGTAAATTAAAACACTTCCCACATGGATAGGGTGTCCTGGTACTGAACATTATAACCCACTGGGAAAGGAAATTCTGCTTTTGTGTGTGTGTTTGTGTGACGATACATCTTGCAGGTCACTCATCAAAAACTTGTGGTCCATATTTCCGGTAAGTTAACATCAAGAGAATCATCCAGCATGGCAGCCAACAGATGAAATGTGTAATAAGCATTTAAAATTCATAAAAGTGAAAACAGTTTCACGTAATGATAATGTATTACAAACACAAACTAATTCTATTAAGAGCACATTTGTAACTACAGTACAGTATGCCTTTAATACCTGGCTCACCAAGAGGTTGCCAGACCAGGGCAGGGAGGGTGACTAAGAATGGTTTCACAGTGGTGAGTGGGTCCTTTTGATACTCAGTTGTGCTGATGTGGGCGTCGGTATCTTTGCTGTCAACCTCTGTCGTGTTTGCCGATCCAGTTCTCTCTACCGTGGTATTATAGTGTGGTAGCCAGTTTCCAGAGCAATTTGAAAGTTGGACAAATTCAGTAATATTCCTGCTTTCAGTTTCTGACAAATCTCCACAATCTTGAGCTGTGTTTTGTCTCTCTGCTATGTGTGAGTCGTGTATCAGTGACTCTCCATCACCATAATTTATAGTCATGGTAGAGTGCTCATTAATCATGGACATTTCAGTGGATGTGACATTTTCATGTAAATCTAAACGGTAACTTCTAAAACCATTTCTGCTATTGCCAACTGTTTCATGTGTCAACTCTTCAACACCCAGTTCAGTGTTGTCATCATGAATATTATTTCCATGTGTGTTATTAATGTATTCAATACTAAGAAAGTCAGCAACATGGTCAGCATGGTGATGGCTTTTGTCAGCACCAGGAACATGGTCAATGTTGTCAGCACCAGTAACATGGTCAGCATGGTGATGGCTGTTGTCAGCACCAGTAACATGGTCAGCATGGTGATGGTTGTTGTCAGCACCAGTAACATGGTCAGCATGGTGATGGCTTTTGTCAGCACCAGGAACATGGTCAATGTTGTCAGCACCAGTAACATGGTCAGCATGGTGATGGCTGTTGTCAGCACCAGTAACATGGTCAGCATGGTGATGGTTGTTGTCAGCACCAGTAACATGGTCAGCATGGTGATGAATGTTGTCAGCACCAGTAACATGGTCAGCATGGTGATGAATGTTGTCAGCACCAGTAACATGGTCAGTGTTGTCAGCACCAGTAACATGGTCAATGTTGTCAGCACCAGTAACATGGTCAATGTTGTCAGCACCAGTAACATGGTCAGCATGGTGAAGGCTGTTGTCAGCACCAGTAACATGGTCAGCATGGTGATGGCTGTTGTCAGCACCAGTAACATAGTCAGCATGGTGATGGCTGTTGCCAGCACCAGTGGTCAGTGCTGTCAGCACCAGTAACATGGTCAGTGTTGTCAGCACCAGTAACATGGTCAGTGTTGTCAGCACCAGTAACATGGTGTTGTCAGCACCAGTAACATGGGTCAGTGTTGTCAGCACCAGTAACATGGTCAGTGTTGTCAGCACCAGCAAGTCAATGTTGTCAGCACCAGTAACATGGTCAATGTTGTCAGCACCAGTTACATGGTCAGTGTTGTCAGCACCAGTTACATGGTCAGTGTTGTCAGCACCAGTAACATGGTCAATGTTGTCAGCACCAGCAACATGGTCAATTGTCAGCACCAGTAACATGGTCAATGCTGTCAGCACCAGTTACATGGTCAATGTTGTCAGCACCAGTTACATGGTCAGTGTTGTCAGCACCAGTAACATGGTCAATGTTGTCAGCACTAGTTACATGGTCAGTGTTGTCAGCACCAGTAACATGGTCAGCATTATGGTGATGCATGTTGTCAGCACCAGTTACATAGTCAGCATCATGGTGATGGCTGTTGTCAGCACCAGTAACACGGTCAATATTGTCAGCACCAGTAACATGGTCAATGTTGTCAGCACCAGTAACATGGTCAATGTTGTCAGCACCAGTTACATGGTCAATGTTGTCAGCACCAGTAACATGGTCAGCAGCACCAGTAACATGGTCAGCATTATGGTGATGCATGTTGTCAGCACCAGTTACATAGTCAGCATCATGGTGATGGCTGTTGTCAGCACCAGTAACACGGTCAATATTGTCAGCACCAGTAACATGGTCAATGTTGTCAGCACCAGTAATGTTGTCAGCACCAGTTACATGGTCAGTGTTGTCAGCACCCGTAACATGGACAATGTTGTCAGCACCAGTTACATGGTCAGTGTTGTCAGCACCAGTAACATGGTCAGTGTTGTCAGCACCAGTAACATGGTCAATGTTGTCAGCACCAGTTACATGGTCAGTGTTGTCAGCACCAGTAACATGGTCAATGTTGTCAGCACCAGTAACATGGTCAGCATCATGGTGATGGCTGTTGTCAGAACCAGTAACATGGCCAGCATCATAGTGATGACTGCTTGTCAGCACCAGTAACATGGTCAGCATCATAGTGATGGCTGTCGTCAGCACCAGTAACATGGTCAATGTTGTCAGAACCAGTAACATGGCCAGCATCATAATGATGACTGTTGTCAGCACCAGTAACATGGTCAGCATCAGTGATGGCTGTTGTCAGCACCAGTAACATGGTCAGCATCATGGTTATGCGCTATTGTCAGCACCAGTAACATGGTCAGCATCATAGTGATGGCTGTCGTCGCACCAGTAACATGGTCAATGTTGTCAGAACCAGTAACATGGCCAGCATCATAATGATGACTGTTGTCAGCACCAGTAACATGGTCAGCATCAATGGTGATGGCTGTTGTCAGCACCAGTAACATGGTCAGTATCATAGTGATGGCTGTTGTCAGCACCAGTAACATGGTCAGCATCATGGTGATGGCTGTTGTCAGCACCAGTAACATGGTCAGTATCATAGTGATGGCTGTTGTCAGCACCAGTAACATGGTCAGCATCATGGTGATGGCTGTTGTCAGCACCAGTAACATGGTCAGCATCATGGTGATGGCTGTTGTCAGCACCAGTAACATGGTCAGCATCATGGTGATGGCTGTTGTCAGCACCAGTAACATGGTCAGCATCATGGTGATGGCTGTTGTCAGCACCAGTAACATGGTCAGTATCACGGCGGTGTATGTTGTCTGTTGTGGTAATGTCTCCCCCAGTATTATACAGGGTTCCAGCCTCACTTGTATAATCACCACCACTCTCGTCTACACTACTGGTATGGGCAGGAACAATATGCGGAGCTTCTATGGAAATGCCAGGCTGTATATTATCAGTATACAGTGGGGTAGCACGAGCATCTGAAGACATATGCTCATGATTATCTGTGTCTTTGTGCTTTAGTGTAAAAGCAGTATCCATCCAAGAATCATGTAGAGGCATAGCATCAGCAGAGCAGTTTTTGCAGTCACTCTGGTCATCTGCATCATCATGTGTGTTCTGTAGTGCCTCAGTCAAGCCAACTTTGTTTATCAGTTTAGCACCAGTTGTATTATACCGATTTATCACAGCCTGAGGTTGCTGTGTAACAAGTTTTATCAATTGTGATTTATTACCTTCTAAAGCTTTTACAAACTTTGACATTGTATTTTCATCATTATCTTCAACGTGATCATTTACTCTGTATCCCAACGTGTCAGGATCAGACATAATTTCTTGATCATAAGCATTTCTTTTCAAACGCTGGGAAGCAAAGTCACTATTCTTTACTTTAATGTCAAACTTATTTCTTGGAAAAGAATGATGCAACTGCTTGTTATACCAAAAAAGATTTCCTCTTGTCCTCTCCTTCACTGTACTGATACTGTTAAATAAATTTTTCATCGGGTGATTTTTCCGAAGGGTATTAGTATTCCTATAAAACTTCCTTTCCTCGTTGCTGTTCCACCAACGTTTGTAGGGATATCTGCCTTTCCCCCTCATTCTTTGTGGCAAGATGGAGACAGTGTCCAGTGTGGGGTGGTGGTGGGTTGTACAAACATCACCTACCTTACAGCTCACTAAAGCCTGGCCAGCTTCTAATTTTACAGCAGCATGTAAAGAAAGATAATAACCTTAGCATGCACTAAATATCCCCAACTTAAAGCTTATCAGATAAAAGGAAGAACTATACCAAATATCTAATCAGATTATTCATTTGTTAGCAGCCTACAGTACTTATAATTAAAACAGCAAATGAGCATTAAAATAGTTAATAAATGGAAACCTTCTATTACTATTATATATAACTTGCTTCACCAATTATCCCACTACTGCAAGATTCTACACATAATTAAGAAAAAAATTAAAATAACATCAACTTTTGGGAGTGATGGATGGACTCTTTAAAAACAAACCTGTGATAGGCTTCCAGGATCGGGTGGTACGAAGCCATGGAGGTTTGGTAACTGGCGCTCGACTGCTGCTGCTGCTTCTCTGTGAGCTAGGACTGGCCTGTGATGGTGTCGAGTCTACCGTGCATGACTCTGAGGTGGAAGAGTAGACAATTATAGATATCGATTCAGTCAAATTAATACAACAGTTTACATTGGTTCAGCAACTACTCATTGATTTAACCAAGGATCCAGGAGAGAAAACTCAAGTAATTAAATCATTCTTATTCCATAGTTTAACGTTTTATTTTTCAGTTACACGAATCCAGAAACAGCAAAACTAATCTCAACAAAACTTATTATTCAACTTAGACCATAATGTATACACTTACATGCCATTTTCCCAGATATACGATTGACAACCTAACCTAACCTAACCTATTCATCTACTTAAAATGGCAAAAATCATGAACAGACGACCGCTCTGCTGGGAATCGTCTGGGCGGGATGACACCTGAACATATACTGCCTCCTGATTAACTGATCTCACCTTTCCTGTGAAGCTTCATGCCGAGCACTTCAGGACGGATGCCCCTGGAGCAATGACTGCCAGCCTCCTTGATGAACACCACACCCTGGGGCTTGATGACGCCTACGAAGCACTCATAGATGCGAATATCCCGGCGGTAGGTAAGGGCGTACAACCTCCCCTCCTCCTCCCACTGGCCAAGGCACTGGTACTCCCGCTCTGCCACACAAAAACATATTAACACTGAATCCAACACACTACACAATACTATCTTAAAACGACATATACTTAGCACTAATCTTAAGAGTAAGATACCAGAGCATTATTCCTACTATCTTATATTTTAATACTTTATAAATTCATGTAAACACCAACTATGACCAGAATATTTCTTTTGCCTCAGGACAATCATACACACAAACTTATTTTCACTTATACAAGTACGTATTTATACACAGACCTAAAAAAATATATATAACCCACCAGAAAAATCTACGAACACCATACGAATTTTTTACGTAAAATTTAAAAATAAAACAAATAAGAAAATATCCCAAATCCTTAAATATTTTGGACCTCTTCATTATACAATACTATAAATTAATAGTATCATTAATAACATTTTCTGGCGTAATTAAGTTCGGTTATGTAATGATAGTAAATGACATCATAAATGAACCAATAAAATGAACAGTTGATTGTATATGGTAGAAACGTCAGTTGTATTGTATGACTTAATCTAATGGCTATCTCTAGTGTGTGTGTGTGTGTGATGTTAAGCTAGAGGGTAAAACGTGGGAATGAATTAATAGTAGAAAAGACGAGTGGACTATTGCAGGCATCATGACGGACAAGGACCAATCACCACACATTAATCCTCCCTCCCCCCCTCCCTGACGTAATGACGGACAATAACCAATCACCACACATTAATCCCCCCTCCCCTCCTTGACGTAATGACGGACAAGGACCAATGACCACACATTAATCCCTTCTCCCCTCCCTCCCTGTGGCCACATCTGGGTGGATCAAGTGACTAGCACGGCGCCCTCACCAAGGCTTCCTCGACACCAGGTAGGGGAAGCCCGGATTAAAGACCTTGAAATAATAAGCTCACCTTTATTGACGGCCCAGATTGAACATTTGCAGAGAGAGTAAATAGAACATAAAAGTTATCATTGTCTAACTTTAACTATCAACACCTAACCTAACCAACGTAACGATAATACAAAAAGAGATTATCATAAGTGAGAAATAACAACAAACAAAAAAGATAACTCAGTAAAGAACACCAAACAAGAACACTGTTACCCCGAGCGAACCATTGGCTTATTATTAGTGACAGTGTTTACATCTGGTACGGACTAACCTTTAAGAAATAATAATAATAATAATGAGGCGAGAGACAATATGGCTTAGAGAAACCCCAAGAAGCCAAGACGAAATATAACCCACATAACCCATGAAGCCCACTGCCCATGCCTTCCTTGTATCACACCGCCCACCCCGCCCACACTTTTCCTTCTACCACCCCACCCACATCACACAAAAGTTCCTTATGTGAGAGAGAGGGAGAGAGAGGTAGGTAGGTGGGTGGGTGGGTGGGTGGGCGGGATGGGTGGCAAAGGCACTGTGGGTGGTTAAGTTAAGAACGACTACCATAAAAACGATCTCAGAGTGAACACATACCCATACATTTACACATACAGTAATTCAGAAGCTAACATAACCTGCAGACCACAAGAGCATCCACTCAGATAACTAGCAAGGTGTTAAATATGGATGAAAAATGTGAAATCAAGGTTATATGTAGTGTGAATCATTTTAATTTATATATTTGAAGAGTAGTTTCTACCCAGAAGAGCAACCTACCACTATGATCTTATAAATGTACCACGACACACACACACACACACACACGAGAGACTACAGGCAAAACTGCAATATGCTACAAAAACACATTACAGAGGTGCTTTAAAATATTACCTCCCTCTATCATCTATGAAAATTAAGGATACCATCTTCACATTGCACATATACAAACTACTGTCGGGATTTATAAAATATGTAGTTTCTTAGGATTAATCACCACTATCAGGACTCAGGTGGAGAATAAAAAAATAAAGATACCAAACACAGAGGAAATGGGTGTGGACAATACCCTTCTAGCCCTCTGGTGGCTGAAGGAATAAACTATGACCTGAGTACCAAAACAAGAGTGCAGGAAGATACAACTTACTCACACGTACCTTCCAGAGATGATTGAGGGCACACCTGAGTCTTAATACTGACGACCTCAAATGTATGTTTTACTCTCTTAAGTAAACGAAACTCTCAAGTATTGTCGAATCGTCTGGGTTAATCACAGTTGTCATAGGATGTTCAGGCAAAATGCAATCAATCATGCATACACGTAACAATTGAGCCAGGAACAAAAAGCAAGAGAAAACACCACAAAAACGACAAAACACCGACATCATTAACTTAAATATACAAAAATATTACATGAGTTAAGGTTCAGCAGCCTCAAAATATTAGTGCTAAACATATTTTCCTTCGTGCAGTTTTAATAGGCCTCGTGTCACCTTCATCCATTCTTATCTACTCGGTGCTCAACTCCTCTTCAATATCTGGCTCACGTCTCCTGCCCAATAACCAGTGAACATGACATCATATCAATATACAGTACATCCCAATAGGAGATGTTTGAACGTGATGTAGCAACGTGGTGTAGCAGTGGGGGTATAGCAGTAGCAGTGGGGTGTAGCAGGAGTGTGGTATAGCAGGAGTGTGGTATAGCAGGAGTGTGGTATAGCAGTAGCAGTTGTGACTGAGCGAGACACTGGTGCTGAAATGGCGTTAGGGAGGAAATCAAAGCAGTGAGTGGTACTGTGGATGTGTATAACGTAAACACATAGATCAGACTGTTACCTTAATCACGATATTTAGTTGGTGCTATGAGACAGATACTGAGTGTGAAGGTGATGGTAGTTGTGTGTGGTGGGATGCAGGTGAGGGCACAGTTGAGGATAAAGTCTGTGAGAATTTACGAATACTTCAGTTAGACTTTCCATCACAGGTCCTCCCATTTACCCTCACACCAAATTATTACTGTTAATCATGGGTCTTCCCAAGTAAGCAAACGATTATTCAAGGATACTAAGTGTTTATTTACTGGGCTTTTTTTTTATGAATTCATTTCACTACATATATATATTACCTAACCTTCCTCTCAGAATCTGTAAGTGAACTAATGAAGATGATTTGAATGTCACAGGTACAAAATTAATTATATTTTGTAGATGTTCAGTAGCCTTGTTTCCCTGTACTCTCTCTCTCTCTCTCTCTCTCTCTCTCTCTCTCTCTTGGAAGACTTGATGATTTGAGATAAGGAGTAACAGAGGAATTATTTTGCTCTCTATATTGGCATCCATTATGACAAAATATCCCATCCACGCTTCACATTACTCTGTCGCTCTCAGGATTCAGGACGACAGCAATAATGCCTTGATTGTTTGGGTGTTCCTTTTAAATCTTAAGTTAGTAGCTGGTGGTCTGAGGAAGTAAGATCCAAAGCAATAAGCTCTGTTAATGTCCTCATAAGCTGTGTTGGATCAAGGAGTAAGCTGTTAAGTTGTAAATCAATTGGCCCAAATATGAAGGAGTGACTATCAATTGGTAACTATTTGCAAGAAGAGAAGAAGGAAAATGTAGGAAAAACAATATCTCCCAGTTAGGATAGACTTAACTATCTCTCTCCCTAAAAATACGTGTACAGTATGTTATATATAATGCTGCATCTTTTAACTCTGTGAATAACAAGTACATGGGAGGCTACAGGAACACTATACAGTACTATGCTGGCGGGGAAGGTGGTGCTGAGGCTGCTGGGTAAGGTAAGTGGAATGTGCATGAGGAAAAGGATGGTGCAGTGCTGTGAAGAACCTCGACTAACGCCGCCATACGCCCTGGGACTCACTGTACCTGCAGGGAGAATGGGGGCCGTAACCCTCCTGGAATGGGCAGGGATGCCTCTCGCTGGTGCAGCAGCTGTTGACCCACTACCTGGTACGCGGCCAGGCTCACCGATACTTGACTGATATCCAAGCTTTCCTGGGCGATTAACATGTGCAGGGACAGTGTCAATAGTTTCTGAGATCCAGTGAGATCCAGCGTCACGCCCTGGAGACTTTCCGGCCCCTCTGTCTCTATATAAGGGGATGTCATCAACTTCACTGCCTGATGGTGTTCTGTCTTGGTTTCTTCGCCAAGTGGAGTCCTCTGTTGTCCTATAAAAGTCTCTGTTTACAGAACTATGCTGGTCAGGATCTACTGGATGGAAGTTTAAAGTGTCACGTGGTCTGTCAATAGGTCTGTCCACAAAGACTGGAGGTTCTTTGGTGGACGATGTGTATGAGTGTTCATCTGAAAGTCTTTTACTGTCAGGATTTGACCCTGAGTCCCAAGGTGACTGATTTCTGTCTGTCTGTGTACTAGATGACCAGAAGCCTCTGCCTCCAGGTTGCCTGTTTGTTGTCCTGTTGAACTTACGGTGACTAAAACTACTGTCTCTTACCTGTTGCTCGTCGTCAGTATCAGGGCGCCCACTGATGGGCTGTCTATTGTTTGTGCGATCAGATTCATCCCGAGAAGAGAATACAGGGGAGGAAGAAGTAGAGAAAGATGGACCAAGAGAAGGTTTCCAACCGGAAGGGAAGGAGGTAGTAACATCTCTGGGTCCACCCAAATCTGAAAGTGCAGAACTACGAGTGAAGGAGCGGTTGCCGTCCTGACGACCGTCACTACCAGGCCAAGATGCCACAGATGAGGGAACTTCCCCACTTCCAGAACCTCCACCAACGTGCACGTCCCGACTGTCTGTCATGCTCTGTCCAGACTCCTCTGAGGGTTCCCATCCCACCCCCCTGTCAGGTAAGTCAGGCTTAGCGTTTACACTTGCAGATACATTATCTTGAGGCCCTGCAGTGAACCAGTAGCCAGGAGGATGTTTGAGTCTGTTGTCCCAGGCATACTCACTCTCGTCTTTGCTCTGCATACCTTGCTTGATGGGTTGTTGACTGTGAATACTTTGCTCCAGTGGTTGACGACCAGTACCAACATCTGGAGAGTAGTTGTACGATGGGTTGTGGGGTGCTGGTGGTGTTGGGTGGCGGTTGTCTCCTACGGGGTTTCGTGGTTCACTGACATGAGGTTGATGAGTGGAAGCAGAGAGAAAACCTGGAGGTGCCCCAGGAACCCAAGTGGCACGGCCTGGTACTCCCGATCCTGCCACCTCTGAGTTGTCACTGGTTGGGGAAGGATCCCTCGGAGGTTGAGGGGGCGCTACTGACAGCTCAGGAGCAGCATTCTCCGGCGGGTACTGTGGTCTACTCGGGTTACTTGGCCAAAAGTCAACAGGGTTGTAGCCACCTCGACGGGGTGGTTCTGGCTGGCTGCGAAACTCCGAATATGGATCGGGTTGGAATCTATCGTAATTCCTTTCTGAGGTAGACTCAGAATGGGCAGGTGGTGGCCGGGGGAGAGGCAAGTGTGTCCATGGTGAGCGTTGTGAGGATGGAGACCTTGTTGTTGTGGTAGTGGTAGTTGTCGATGTGGTTGTAGATGTTGTGGTATCAGGGGTGGTTCCCCAGAGCCAGGATATGGTAGTGGTCCGAGCGTTGGCCACACGGAACTGGCCACCATTTACTTGCCTTCGTCCACGGCCGCCCTCATCATCAGCGATAGTGAGAACAGCACCTGTGCTCACCTTCTGCTCGGGCGGCAGCCAGGGTCCCGCCTCACTCGTGGGGCCTGGCAGGTCTTCGTCTGTAAAGTAAGGAACTTGTTCCCCGCACAACATACACTAACCTGTCTCTCTCTTACAGATTTAATTTCTACTTAGCTACTTGTCAAAGAAGTTGTTAGTGGTAAATAATATAATACTCAACCTAGCTTAATGTTCATTACTCACACATTAGTAAAGTTAAACAATTTACAGGTTATAGCAAAGCAGGTACTGTATTAGTAGCATTAAAAAGGATAAAACGTTAGTGAAGCTAATGCAACGTAAGTTAAGTTTAGCTCAGGGAAGTACACAAGGAACCTGAGGTAACCACTGCATAGGCACCACCAGCTCAGTTACTCACGCTCATACACGTTGGAGGTGTTTCTGCAATCACCGACGGTGTAGTACATGAGTTGTGGAGTCTCACAGTCAGAGTACAGCTGAGCACAGTAACCAGGGGCGTCAGGAAGCTCCCCGGCATAGTTTCCCACGATGGGACACGTCGTGGGTTCCTCCAACAGTGACTCTGAAGGATAAACGACGGTTCGAGACAGTAAAGAATAAGATCACATAACAGAATGATGTCCTTCAGCATAAAGTTACCTTCACTGTCAACTACAAAGTTTGATTAAATTTAGGTTACATTAGTTACAAGTTTAGGAATAAGATCGGTTAGAAATAGTTACACTGGAGCGTCTATTTTGGAAGAGGAATACTGGGAGGATCAACCATAAAGGAGAAGGACCAATCTGCTTAAGTCTTCCCTACACATACACCCGTTTTCTACCTTACAGTGTCCAGGCCCGCTATGTCTAAACTAAAGAATTACAGTCACCACAACACATCCTTACCGGGGCTTCACCATTGCTACTTGACGTGTTGCAGCTGAGTTAGTTATACATGTGCTACAGCTAAATAATTTAACATAAGGTTGTAATGAATTGACTTATTAGATTTTATAATTAATTGATATGATTAAGTGTTATCAAGTAAATGGAAGAGAAGAGAGAGAGAGTAACCTAACCCAAGGCACCAAGAGGGTAGGAGTGAGTGAGTGAGTGAGGGTCGCACGTACTGCCTTGTGTGATCCAAGATGTCATGTCGCCGAACTTGCCAACATCACACAGCGAAACGTCGAAGTTTTCCCTCGGGTAAAGACCTGCAAGTGATGTCAGAACGGCATTAACCTAACCTAACCTCACATCTATGTATAATCACCACAGTAACTCGAAATCTTTTAAAAATCAGATGTAGAAATTTTTGACATCTTTTTTTTTTACAATAATTGAAGAAGACCATTGCTTGCATCAACTCTTATTTGATAACAGTTTAAGAGTTACCTGTTTATCAATTACCGTAATCAAGAGTGATGTTAACAAAGACCCAACATCACAAGATAATATTAATGGTCGTTGTGGTATAAGCAAAGATATTTTTTAACATACATTACTTAGATATCTATTTAGGTTTTGCAAGAACATTTATCTTCACTGGGTGACTATAGTGTGTGTCCAGATAATCCCCAGGTGTATGTAGGTGTGTCCAGATAATCCCCAGGTGTATGTAGGTGTGTCCAGATAATCCCCAGGTGTATGTAGGTGTGTCCAGATAATCCCCAGGTGTATGTAGGTGTGTCCAGATAATCCCCAGGTGTATGTAGGGTGTCCAGATAATCCCCCAGGTGTATGTAGGTGTGTCCAGATCCCCAGGTGTATGTAGGTGGTGTCCAGATAATCCCAGGTGTATGTAGGTGTGTCCAGATAATCCCCAGGTGTATGTAGGTGTGTCCAGATAATCCCCAGGTGTATGTAGGTGTGTCCAGATAATCCCCAGGTGTATGTAGGTGTGTCCAGATAATCCCCAGGTGTATGTAGGTGTGTCCAGATAATCCCCAGGTGTATGTAGGTGTGTCCAGATAGGTCCAGATAATCCCCAGGTGTATGTAGGTGTGTCCAGATAATCCCCAGGTGTATGTAGGTGTGTCCAGATAATCCCAGGTGTATGTAGGGTTATAACCAGTGTAGTGTGTTCGATAATCCCCAGGTGTATGTAGGTGTGTCCAGATAATCCCCAGGTGTATGTAGGTGTGTCAGATAATCACCAGGTGTATGTAGGTGTCAGATAATCCCCAGGTGTATGTAGGTGTGTCAGATAATCCCCAGGTGTATGGAGGTGTGTCAGATAATCCCGTGTGTAGGTGTCAGATAATCCCCAGGTGTATGTAGGTGTGTCCAGATAATCCCCAGGTGTATGTAGGTGTCAGATAATCCCCAGGTGTATGTAGGTGTGTCCAGATAGTCCCCAGGTGTAGGTAGGTGTACGTAGGTGTGTCCAGGTGTAACAACATATGACAACACTCACCCAACATAAATTCTAATACATTGGCACTGCGTCGCTTCAGCCACAGGCAGTTGTAGTTCCAGTCACCGCTGAGGGAGAAAAACCCGAGTCTACTAAGTTTGTTTCCTCTAGTCTAAGGTAATTTTCCCCTAGTTTAAGGTAGCTTTCCCTAGTCTCAAGTAATTAAACTAATTTTGAAAGCTATTATAGTATATTTTTCCCTAGTCTAAGATAAATTTTTCCCTAGTCTAAGATAATTATACTAATATTGAAAACTACATTTCTTCCCGAGACTAAGGTAATTATACACTATTTAGAGCATCAATCACCACAACATCTCAGGCATACAGTACTGACCAGTGGGTGCGGGCGTATACAATGAACCTCTCCCCGTCCAGCAAGTCCTTCACGCAGCTGGCACTGTAGGTTTTGTGGTTCCGGTAGTCCTGTGTGGGGGAGAGACTACACTTATTGGCTACATCTGACACACTTATTGGTTACATCTGACACACTTATTGGCTAACACCTGACACACTTATTGGCTACATCTGACACACTTATTGGTTACATCTGACACACTTATTGGCTACATCTGACACACTTATTGGTTACATCTGACACACTTCTAATGATACATCTGACACACTTATTGGCTACATCTGACATAACTTATTGGTTACATCTGACATAAACTTATTGGCTACATCTGACAAACTTATTGGTTACATCTGACACACTTATTGGCTACACCTGACACACTTGGTCATTACATCTGACACACTTATTGGTTACATCTGACACACTTATTGGCTACATCTGACAAATTTATTGGTTACATCTGACACTTATCATTACATCTGACACACTTATTGGTTCATCTGACACACACACACACACACACACACACACACACACACACACACACCATTCCCTCAGTATCTGGCCAGAGTTCACCTAACCTAACCTAACCAAGTCTAAAATCAATATAAGACAATATAAGCGGATGAGTGGTGTCTCAACATGAAGGAAGTAAGCAGCCAATTAGCGAGGTCATCACTGTGACCTAGATCAAGGGACATGCAAAGCTGGAGCCTTATAGAACCCAGCCTGTGATCTTGATTTGACATGACCATAGAAATACCCGACATACCTGCAGATAAAATCGACATGACTAAAAACCGACATCTAAATACCTGACATGACTAGAAACATACTAAAATACCTGACATGACTAGAAATACCTGACATGACTAGAAATACCTGACATGACTAGAAATACCTGACATGACTAGAACACCTGACATGACCATAGAAATACCCGACATGACTAGAAATACCTGACATGACCCTAGCAACACCTGACATTACCCTAGCAACACCTGACATGAATAAAAGACAACAAGTAATTTAAAACCATCTCAGAAGACGTCAACAATTTCATGACCTGATTACCACTTTGTTCAATTGCAGTTAATGGGTTGTTCACTGGTGCGATGCTTGGGTGAACAGTGGAACAGGTGGTCATATATGGCATCAACAACTACTAAAGTAAATTGCATATATTAAGGAATTATTTCGTTCATGACTTCACCTTTCAATAGTGATTCTACATCCTAGCATTACCAGTAGCTAAGATTCTCAAGCTATGGCAATTTCCCCACACGTCTACACTATTACCTTTACAACGTTAATAATAGTTGATAGTATATACAGTGAGTGGGGGTGGGGGGGAGAGTGTCTCAATAGCAATGGAAGTCAATATTGAATCACATCTGGTAGTAGAAAGATTTTAAGACTATGGTATAGGCCCGGCTAAACCAAGTGTGTCGTGGGGGCTCTTGATGCCAGCTACGACCACCACACATGTTGTCTCCTCCTGCTGCTGGTGGTGATGGTGTACTGGCTCACCGAACACCAAGCGCCTTATTAATATCCATACACAACACATCCTCCGGTATACATTAATCCACGTATGGTTACACGGTTTTAAGTAGTGAGTAAAATATTGTTTGGTTAGATTTTCTCATTCACATAAAACCAGGTTGTGATGTGGTGTGATTGTCCTTAGGGATGAGGTGTTGATTGATGCTGTTTCGCAATGTTTTCCCGCTGAGTGTAACCTATTTTTAATTAAGCGATTGTACCAGTAATTTTCCTTCTTATATGCGTAACGTATTTTGTGAGTTGACTTCTTTCTATTCACTTTCTTCTCTATATCCCCTTCTCTCTCTCTCTCATGGGTTTCTAACTAACCCACACACACCTGAGTACGATGTGGTTGTTGCGTCATGGTTGTTGGGTTATGGTAGGCAGTCAACCATAAAACCCAGTCCTTACCTATAAACTAAACACACACACACACACACACACACACACACACACAACACCTGAAATACTAATTGGCAAGTACGAGTATAATGAATGTAGAAATACCACCCAAGGTTTACATTAGGCTACCATCCCATTAACCTAACCTAACCAAACCCAACCTAAACCTAACCTAACCTAAACCAACTAAACCCAACCATCCACTCGCTCTTACCTCATGTATTACGCTTATCAATTCTCGACAATCATTCAAGTAAAATCACGCAATTCATATATCATCATCGTTAATCAAATACTCATTCTAGTTAATAATAAAAATACAATGAACCCCTTTACTCCCCACCCCTTCCCCTTACGTCATTCTTGGTAAGTACAGGTAGGGGAGACTCAGCCGGTGTTTCAACTGTCCATTTGTCTGTCTGTTGTCTGTCTGTCTCTTCCATGACCCTGACTACCACTATTCATGCTCAGGAAATGACAGAGGCATTTTGTTTTTCCCTGGGGGGAGGAAGAGGGGGGGGGGAGGTAGGGGAAGAGGGGAGGGGGCGAGGTAGGGAAAGAGGGAGAGGAGGGAGTAGAAAGAGGGGAGGGGGGGAGGTAGGAAAGAGGGGAAGGAGAGAGGGAAAGAGGGGAGGAAGGAGGGAAAGAGGGGAGGGGGCGAGGTAGGGAAAGAAGGGAGGGGCGAGGTAGGGAAAGAGGGGGGGTGATGAATTAGTTCTGCCTTTCTGTCTCCTTTAATTGCCACAACTAATTTGATCTGTTAACTGGGATCACTTGAAGAATCTCCAACCCAGTTTATTTTATCCTAATGCTAACCTAAACTAATCTAACCTAACCTACCCCCAACAAATAGTGCTAGGGTGGTTAATCTTCAGGTGAAATAAGCTGGCTTGATAGAGATTCTTCAAGTGATCCCATAATAATAATAATAATAAATAATAATAATGAAAATAATAATAATAATAAATAATGATAATAATAAATAATAATAATAATAATAATAATAATAATAATAATAAATAATGATAATAATAATAATAATAATAATAATAATAAATAATAATAATAATAATAATAATAATAATAATAATAATAGTAATGGCATTTTCTCCCCTGCCTATACAGCTGCCGTACCTACTGTGTGTGTTCACCTCACCTTGGCCTGGCAGTGTATGGTTGCCCGGGTCTGATGCCTGACCTTCACGGCTAACCAGTGTCACGTCCGCCACCACTACCACCACCATCACTACCACCATCACCACCACTATCACCATCACCACCATCACCACCACTATCACCACCAAAGTTAATAACCCTGGAAGGTGTTTAGAATTAACTTCCATTTATACCTGATATTCGTCCCTTGGTTAAGAACTAACTGTACTGTGATGGCGTTAGACAAGTTGGTATATTTAATGCTGACATACGTGTGAAATGAGGACGTGTGTGCGTGTGTAAACCGTGAAATACAAGCACGCAGGATAGGTGTGTGTGTGTCAAAAATTAACAAAGATATTTAAACTCTGTAACCTGGTGTAGCTTGTGACATGGGCTAACTCTTCAAACTTTGGTTACCACACAACATACACACGACATTCTTTTTACAGACAGACAGACAGACACAACAAGTGATATTCTACAGACAAAATAATTTACGTATCAATGTTTTTAAATGGCTAAGTCAATTATTTCAACATAACAGACGGAACGTAATATAAATTTTTATCGAAACAAAACAAAACGACTGAATATAAATTAGTTGAAGAATCTTGGTATTAAAACTTCTAAAAAATAATTCTAAAATAAGCAAATGAAAGTAATAATAATAATAATGGAGGATAAAAAGACAATATATATATATGTATATAATGGGTGAATTCACTACATCATACGGTCGAGAGAATGAATTATACAATGTTGAAGGGGAGTTCCGCTGGGGGGCAGGAATTTTTTATATTGATGCCTATGAAAAAAAAATACGTTAAAATAATAATGATGATGATTAAAAAAACAAAAAATATATATATATAATAGATTTAATTAGACGCGTACATAACGAAACAAGAGATAAATTAATATTTTATCAGAATTACTAACATAACACTGAATTACATGAGGCTGACCTGTATTGTGACTCGGAAAAAGTATAGTCAGGTTATACAATGTTGCTTAAGAGGACTAGAAGCGTCAAACGTTCATACATTATCTGACGCACTACTGACAAACACACTTATCGCGGCAACCACTTGAATCAGTGCAAAAATGTGAATGAACGCCAAAATTTGAATCGACGCAAAAATGTGAATGAACGCAAAAATCGGAATGAACTAAAAAAATCTGAAAGAACGCTGAAATCTAATTCTTTTCTACACGTTCCTGGGCCTCACAACACAAAACCATCTAGCAGTTTTGGTTCGTGATCCTCAATGACAAGTGAAAGTCAAATGGTGTGAATATAACAACACAAACTTCACGCTCCATAGTCGCTGTTTTAGGTGCATACTTCCGCTGCCACCGACCTTTGACGAGCAGATATAAAAGAAAACAGTACAGTCGCACGCAAAACCTCTCCTGAACTATGAACCCCGAGATTCAAACTATAGTGAACCCGAAGTAACAGACAGATGCAATATTCTGTCCATAAATGGCTTCGGATTCGCGAGTCTGAATCTTCAAATCTTGTACTGTACACCTGATGATAACACCACTACCACACAACGCTTACTATTGTTGATACATCTTTTACACCCTTCGTCCTGCACTATTTTCATCGCAACAGTAATGAGGCTTGACCGGGGAGAGTACGGTGGGGAGTGGTGGTGGAGAGGTGCCACCCTCTTGGCCAGCCCGCCGCCCTCACCACAGTGCACTGACTCCCTACCTCCACCCACACCCTGAACACCTTTCTTCTGTGCAGTAATATTAAGAAATGATCAATTCAACACATACGTCGTCCATTTAGATAAAAGAACATTAATACAACTAGCCCTCGAGTTCTCTTACAGCTCAACACTTCCACATCCTTGCATAGTAACTAGTTCTAATAGTCAAGTAATTAAGGTAACGAAGAAAAAGAACTCACCTTAAAAACAATGGTGTCACCGGCGATAAAGGTGTGGTGCCAGTGGCCTGAGAGGGTCCCGGGGAAGGTGCAGGTGGAGGCGCTGACGTCGGGTGGCAGTGGCAGGACGGACCGACATCAACACGTAGTTCTCGTACCTGTGGTGATAACAGCGTCATACCTGCCCCCCCTGATACTGTTTATATTCCACCCCAGTGTCTGGTATGTGACCGAAGGAGGTTAATGGTGTGAGGTTAATGGTGTGAGGTTAATGGTGTGAGGTTAATGGTGTGAGGTTAATGGTGTGAGGTTAATGGTGTGAGGTTAATGGTGTGAGGTTAATGGTGTGAGGTTAATGGTGTGAGGTTAATGGTGGAGGTTAATGGTGTAAGGTTAATGGTGTGAGGTTAATGCCTTAAAAATATAAATCACTAGCATAATGATGAAGGGAATGAGAAGTGACTTACCCATCAGTAGGGGAGTTGAGGTTATTAGTGCAGGTGGAGTCCTCGCTGAAGGAGAGCAACACGCGCCCCGTCCCCGCCTCCTCCAGGAACATCTGTAACACCTGTTAATTAGTACTCCCAGGTGATAAATGTACCTCACCTGTGTATTCACCTGCTGTGTGATGCTTCTTGCTGCTGTCACGGTCTGCTTACTGAGACTGTCATCCCTCCTATCCTGCCTTCTGCATCAACACTTCCATCCTGCCTCCGCCATCCTCTCAACCACCTGTACTCCACCTCACGTCTCTTACACCTGCGCTTAAATCAAGAGTACATTCATCAACACTTGCTGTCCATCATACTTGGCACACACACACACACACACACACAAACACACACCCATATAAACACTCTACACACACTAAACATACACACACACACACACACATCAGCGTCAGTACTCACACCACACTTGTAGCGGGGAACAGCGACATCATCCTCCTTCACGCTAGAGTCCCACACGGCCAGGTAGTCCTTACGGTCTTCGCCAACCCACGACCCAAGGCACTGTAGTCCTCGAGCTGCAGGAGAACATGAACACGTTATATTCCTACAGGAAACGAGGAACATCTGAGGTAGAGAACACGACATGAAGGAGTTAGAGGAGATATTGTAGGATGTTCAGCAGAGGAGACAGGATAGGATGTTCAGCAGAGGAGACAGGATAGGATGTTCAGCAGAGGAGACAGGATAGGATGTTCAGCAGAGGAGACAGGATAGGATGTTCAGCAGAGGAGACACTTAATCAGACGCCCCAAGTCCCTTTGTTTTTATCCTGAGTCTATCCTAAATACATCTAGCCATCACTGGTTTACACTACCCCGCCACACTACACTACACCCAGGGGTACACTTACACCCTATACTTAATGTTATATGAAGATAATTACAGGTATGTATGGCAAAAGAAAAAGGTAATTTGAGAAAACATTTTTATTTATGTTTTAGTAAAGAAAATTATCTGTGGTTGTCCAGTGATAAAAAAACATTATAGAATATAGAATAAAATAAACATTCAATAAATGACTGTACTATGCTTTCTATAATCTGGTTCCTGGCTTACGAGACTGGCTATACCTCCTGTCATAATATGAAAACATTACAAATACCCAAGAGTAGCCATGAACTCACGCTGGGGGGCAGGGAAGGAACAGTCACGGTAGATAACGTTATAAGCGAAGCCATAGGGACAATTGGAGAACTGTGAGGTAGGCTGGTCACAGGAGCCGGCAGCCACCCCGTTGCTGGCTGGGCCCCGACGGTAGGTGAAGGTGTAGTGCCGTTGAAGGGACACTCCACCGTCCCTACCTCCTTCTCCCCCCACACCGTCTTGGTCTCTGTAAGGCAACACAGAAATAATCTTAGTACCACATTCTTACCTATTTATCATAACACTCAAATATATGTACAAAGCTTCACAAAGTTATTATATACTTTTAATTACTTCTACATATTTTTTTTACATTAAATTTACCGTACAGAAATAAATTGATATATGATGTTGAGAGATGGTTAAAGGCTAACCTATATGCACCTTTGACCTAATTTCTTAACATAAAAACAGGTGGGAAAATACTGAAAACTTCACAGAGAAATAAGGAACTCCATCGACAGACACGCCCCTCCTACATGTCCAAATGAGTGAGGTGAAAATATAATAATGTCTGGGTTACTAATACTCCTCCCTCCCTGACCCACCCAACAGGCGCTTAATAAGACTCAATAAGACTCACTATAGAGCATTGTTTGGACGGCGCGGCGGCTGGCGACGTCGGCGGAGGCGGGGCAGGTGCGGAGTGCAGCTTCCTCACTCAGGTAACACGTCTGCATCCCCGTCGACCACACCTGCATCACCTGGGGCGACACTACGTCCATCTGAATGCACCGAAAACACACCGTGCTTCCCGTCCTGTAGACACGAGACATTGTTCCAGCACAGATGACTTAACCCATAGACCACTACATCAACAACTACTATTACAATGGATGGGATGGATACACAGGAAAGGGCTAAGTTTCTTTATTCATCTAACGTTTCAGGATACAAAACCCATCAAACCCAATTATCATGGATCGGTTATACTCCTGTTATGTATATATTCACAAATTATAATACTCAGGTGTCTTAAAGGTGATAATAATACCCAGACTTACCTGTCTGTGAGGATTATATAATTATCGATACGAGCGTGACAGGAGCCCCACTGGACGATGATGTCTGTGTGGATGGTGATCTCCTGGTAGGTTATGGGGGGCCTGGAGTCCTGCCCGCTGGTCACCTGAGTCTCCCACACACCTTGTAGCTCCCCGGGGAAGTAACACACACACCATCCTGCAACACAAACGCCGTCAACATTACCTGGTTTACCTCCTCACCACCTACCCTCACCTCCCCTCACCACCTACCCTCACCTCCTCCCCTCACCTCCTGCCCTCACCTCACCTCCTTACCACCTACCCTCACCTCCTCACCACCTACCCTCCCCTCACCTCACCTCCTCACCATTCTCACACCCATAACTCTAGCAATGAATCAAATATTACATCAAATTAACACTTACATTTACCACCTAATACAACGCAACAATACCTTAATAATCAATAAACACGGTACCTAACGAACCTAAAATAAACACGGTACATAACGAGCCTAAAATAAACACGGTACCTAACGAGCCTAAAATAAACACGGTACCTAACGAACCTAAAATAAACACGGTACCTAACGAGCCTAAAATAAACACGGTACCTAACGAGCCTAAAATAAACACGGTACCTAACGAGCCTAAAATAAACACGGTACCTAACGAGCCTAAAATAAACACGTACTATTTATCTGAAGTTCTCATCGCAACACATCAATCAGTGGAACCTCTCAACACAACTCTACCACACCACAGTACTAATATAACCCCTAACTATACCACTATACTATAAACGGCCTCAGTGTCTTTGTCTATACCTAGAGTTATATACAGTGTGGTGACTACGGACGGTGAGAGGGTGTGGTCACCTTTATATAATGATTGCAAAAATACTCTCTATTTATACCTGTCTGAACTCTGTAACACCTGGAGGGGAGGGGGGAAGGGAAACACGGTGGTGAGGGAGGAGGAGGAGGGAGAGATAGAAAGGGTGGTGATGGAGAGAAAGAGATGAGGGTGAAATGTAAGGGGGAGGGGGTGTAAGGAAGAGAGGTGTGTGAGAGAGAAACAGGGAGGAAGGGAGGGAGGGGGAGGAGGGAGAGGGAAGATAAGGGAGAGAAGGGAGGTGAGTTTTTTCTCCCACCCAACAGTGTATTGACACCCTCGTGCTATTCTTGCCTGGTGGAGTAGGTGGGAGAGGAGGAGGGCGAGGAGGAAGAGGAGGGGAAGATAGAGGAGGGGAAGATAGAGGGGGGGGGAAGATAAAGGGGGAGGAGGAGGAGGTGGTATCATCCTGGCCCAGTAGCCCTGCACCAGCCACCCCCTAAATCTCACTTCAGACAAACAATATCCACCAAAGGCCTTTACACCCCATAAAGCCCCTCCTCCCCTTACGGACCTCATTAACTAAGATCTTAAGCGGGTTTGATTACTTCCCTTTGATAACGAAGGTCATTAAGCACGTAACTAGGCTCATAATTATACTACTTCATCAACGTAAGAAAATATATTAAAGATTAAACTATGTAAGAATCTCCTTAACATTGTCAGGACTCTCAGGCAACAAGGACCACGGCTGATAGCGACAACCTCCTCCTTCGACACCTGGGACGACACTGACCTCTGCGGGCGCTGGGAGAGTATTTTTACCCCATCTGTGTAAAGAACTGAACTAGCCAACACGATAACTCACACAGATAACAATGAATCCTAAACCAAATACCACAAACCCTCAAATATGCTCGATGATTGGTCACAGCTATCATTAGTCTTCATATTTATTGGTGGAGGTTGTTAAAAAAAAAAGCACCAATCGGCGCCCGCCATGCCCACATAGAGATGGATTGTACTCACTCGTCAGGTGGGAGTACAGAGGCCCAACACAACAACTTTCCCACCAGTATCTCTACTCGCTAGCACATAAACTGTTTACACTCTACCTACACTGTAAAAACACGTTGCTGGCCTGCTGCTAGGTGTAGTGAGTATGACTTGAAGAATGTGTGTATACGTGTGGGTGGGTTGGTGGGTGGGCTGGTGGTGGGTTGGTGGGTGGGCTGGTGGTGGGCCGGTGGGAAGTGTGGTGGAAAGCAGTGTGGGTGTAGACTGATTGCAGCCTAGTCTGTAAGACACCAACACTGCACACCAACCACAAGGAACAAACACCTCCCACGACACACATACCCCCCGCCCACGAGACACATAACACCACGCCCACGACACACACATACACCGCCCACGTACACACACACACCGCCCACGACACACACATACACCACGCCCACGGCCACAATATGCCACACCGCCCACGACACACACATACCCCGCCCACGACACACATACCCCGCCCACGACACACATACACCGCCCACGACACACATACCCCGCCCATGACACACACATACCCGCCCACGAGACACACACTCGCCCACGACATACACCGCCCACGACAATACACAATTCCCTGCCCACGACAGGCCACATGTTCGCCCACGACACACATACTCTGCCCACGACACACATACCCCCTGCCCACGACACACATACCCCTGCCCACGACACACATACACCCGGCCCACGACACACATACCCCTGCCCATGACACATACACGGCCCACGTGGTTCAACAGGTGAGCATTGGCGTTGTAACGGTTGTTTACACCTCTTTCAACAACTAAGGCCTTTCAAGGTGTAATGGCGAGGTTGGGGACTACATTAGTTCATCAATAAATAAAAACAGGGAGGGGAAAGCAGGGTGAGGGAAGGAGGGAGGGAGGGGGGGGTGAGGGAGGCATGGAGACAGGGTGAGGGAGACAGGCAGGGAGGGTAAGAGAGAGTGAGGATAAGGGAGGAAAGAAGAGAGGGAGTTGCAGGCAGGGTGAGGGAGGCAGGTTGGGGGTGTGAGGGTAGGAAGAAAGATATAGGGCGAAAGAGACAGACAGGGAGGGTTAGGTAGAGGGAGACAAGGAAAGGTCGAACACCGGGGTGACAAAGTAGTGCTGGCTGCTGTGTGATTATAAAGCGGATTCCTCCTCCCACTAGTCTGTTCCGCTACCTCCCCCCCTCCCCTTCCTTCCTTCCTCCCTCCCTTCCCTCACTATCCCGTCTCCTCCCTTCCGCACTACTTTCCCTCAATTATTTATATTCTATGGACATTCTGGAGGTACTAAAGTGTATCAAGCTGCAAAAATTCCAAAGTCCAAAACCTGCTGAAAAAATATGAATACTGTAATAATTTTTAAAACAGTAATGGAAGAATGTAAATAAACCTTCAATTTTGAGGGGGTTCT